GAGGAGGAAAGGAGTATTTTAACTTCGTCGATCGAGGAAATAAAAGAAGAAACGACGACGACTACGACGACGACGACGACGACGACGACTATGGGGTTGGTCCTGGAAAAGAATGGAATTGAAACGAAACCGAACGGCAAGGTTGAAACCAAAGTTGAAAGAAAGGTTAAGAACAAAGATGAAAAAAAGGTTGATATCAAAGGGGAATCGGATACGAAGGAGGAGGAAGACATCGAACGATCTGATTGGCAAACGAAAATTTCCAATAAGGTCGAGACGATCGATGATGATTCGGCCAATGCGAATGAGGATGTCGAGATTGTTGTGGAGGTTCGTTTGTATATAAAATATAAAAATATAATTGAATATGAATTTATAGAGAAAGCTGGGTAGGAAAAATGAGACGAAACAAAAGCAAAAAAAAAAGAAAAAAGAAAAAAAAAGGAAGGAGAGAAAAAAGAAGATAAATGAATAAGTAAATTAACAAATAAAAAAAAAAAAAAAAAAAAAAGAAAGAGAGAAAGAGAGAGAGAAAAAAAATGTACGTAGGAGACGAGGAAAAAAAGGTCAACTAGTGGGTTATTATTTGCCACGAGGATTCTCTCGCGTCAATACGGAAACTCCGGGATTCTCGTGTTGTTATTGTCTTTTGAAGGCTCTTAAACGAGATGTATAGTGTGTGTGTATATATATATATATATATATATTTTATTTCTTTTCCTTCTTTTTCTTTTCTTTTCTCATTTTTCTTGTTTTCTTTTTTAATCTTTTTTTCTCTCTCTCTCTCTCTCTTCCTCGATAACACAGTGTCTCGTCATTTATCTTCTTCGTCTCTCATTGTATAAACCCATCCTACGAAAGGTCGAATACACGCATAAACCTGAAGTATCGTTAAACACTCGTCGATGAAAAATATGACAACGATCGTCTAAAGCTTCGACAAAGTACTTTCGATAAACTTTCGTCTCTCTTAAAACGTTTTTATATGATAGGAAAGTAAAAAAAAAAAAAAAAAAAAAAAAAAGAAAAAGGAAAAAAAAATTTTTTAAAAGAAAAGTAAAGAAAAGAAAAGAATATACGTGCATACATGGGATAGTTATAGAAAACGACGGTGGTACGCCTTTAACTACCAGTTTTACAGTCACGATTAACCTTACCTTTACGATCTAATACGTGTAATCCAGAATGGAAATAATTCTCAATGTTATTAGTACATTATGAAAAAGGAAAAAGAATTTTCTCTATTTCTTTTAACGTCGTCGTTTGATTAAGAATTTTAATCACAGATAACGACGTTGAACGTAACGCGTGACGTACCATTGAACGATCAAAAACGTAATTGTCATACCATAGATATATCATATTAATGTCTTATCTACAAATATATAGATGGATAGAAAAGAAAAGAAAAGAAAAAAAAAAAAAAGAGAAAAAGAAAAAGAAAAAAGAAAACAAAAAATAAAACGTAACTTTTGTTTCGAGCTTAGATCGCCGATAAGAAGAAAGAAGGAGAAAAAAAAAACGAAGAAGAAGAAGAAAAAAAGAAGAAGAAGAAGGAGGAAGAGGAGGAGGAAGAGGAGGAGGAGGAGGAGTTAGATAGGAAAGATCGACAAAAGGATTTTTATCATCTAGATTCAGATCAATATCTCGATGATTCGATATTTGATATCGGAGACTTAGAAGACGAATGGTATCCTAGAATGGAAGCGCTTCCATCGGACGAATTAGTCGATTCTATCAGCGACATTTGCACCTGTCATAAACCGGAAGAACGTATATCTATACCTCCCACGCCACCCCCCTGCGATCCAGTCGAGGAATTTATTAAAAGAATGGAAAGGGATATTGACAAGGATCAACTTGTAAGGATTTTTCAAATAGACGGTATTGGTCCCAAGGTTTCGGAGATAAAAGTTACAGCTGTTAATATTTGGTTATGCGAGTGTGCTCGTAGACAGAATGGTTACGTAGGACCACGTAATATCAAACATTTCCTATGTCCAGATCTTCAGGATTCTAACGATTGCAATAATTAATAATCGAAGAGAAGAATTTGCGTTTATCTTTTTCCATTTTAAAACGATTCTAACGACAATCCTGAATTTATCCGATTGATTTTTATATTAGCTATGTATGGTATTATCTATCTACGTATGTACACACACACACACACACACATATATATATACATATATACGTATATATATGTATATATGTGTGTATGTAATAGGTACGTTTAATTTCTCATCGACGAAAGAACTTAAATTTCTCCATAAATGAATTTTCCAATTGCGACGTAAATACCGATCCTACCGAATCGCATTTGCCCAAGATTTTATGTGCCGTTTTACGCAAATATATATATATATATATATATATATATATATATATATATATATATATGTGTATATATATACTCTATCTCGCAGATTTTACATATTAAAACGTAACGCTTCGTTTCGTTCACAAAATATAATCCACCACGTGAGATGCATTAACGAATCGTAATATCATCGTTTCTTTCCCCCTTGCCCCCACCCCACCTCTATCCCCTTTCTTTCTCTGTTTTTTCCTATTTGTTCTTTTTGTTCCCCCTCCCTCTCTTCTTTACAACACAAAAGAACGTATTATTTGCCGTGAAATAATTTTTTAATCGGTATGCAATGTTACAAGTACTTACTCGGATGCTACTCTAATATATACAATTATTCTGTACTATGTAATTTTATGCAAAGTAAAAAAATGCGAATGAGTTTCCTTTAATTATTGTATCAGTTCATTTTTCTTCTTTCTCTCTCTCTCTCTCTCTCCCCTCTCTCTCTCTCTCTCTCTTTTTTCTGTTTTCATTCGGAATAATAAAATACATCAGAGATTATTGTGCTTTTCTAGCTTAAAACCTTAAAAATGTCATTGAATCCTTTCCGTTCGATCGATACACTGTTATTCCATACCACTTCCTTCTTTCCCCTCCTCCCACCACACCCCTTACTCCCTCCAAAGAACAAATATCCTCTATATAATAAAATAATTTTATTTTATTTATATTATAGTTCACGATTTGCTCGTGTAATCAGATAAACGTAATAAACATTTGTATAGAAATACAGGTAGTCATTGATTATTGGAAAAAAATTTGTGAGTATCACAGATAAAACTTTATTTTTATCATTCCGTCTCTCTCTCTTTCTCTCTCTCTCTCTCTCTCTCTCTCTCTCTCTCTCTCTCTTTCTCTCTATTTCTCTCTATTTCTCTCTATTTCTATATCTATTTGTATTTCTTTTATTAGAGATAAACTTTTGAAAAGTCCGTTTAATTTGTAGTCAGTAACCTTACTTCAGCAATTTTCAACTTAACTAATCTCATCGATTTTTCACAGTGGTACGGTGATATTCGAGGATATATTTCCTCACTTCCGTCCAATTAGTAAGATAATTTATAGTAATATCGAAGGAGAAACGAGGTCGAAAATGTTCTCTCGTGCACGTATTTTAGTAGCATAAGCGCGTTAATAGAACGTTAGAACGGCGGTAGAATTTCTGTTAGATATTTGTAATATGCGTGTATATATATATATATATATATATATATATATATATATATATATATACTTACATATATATATATATATATTTCGACATACGAGTAACTCATATCGAAGAAACATATTTAATACGACGGTACCTTATCGTTGCTTTTACAGCTATAAGAATCGATTTTAATTAAACTTTTGAGAAATTGATGGAGATTGGTTTAAGAGGGTATTAAGAAAAGGTATTATAATTAAATACGAAAATGAATTTTTCTCACCGAACGTGTAATAATCTTCCGAACTGACGTTGGATCATCCGTATAATAATCAAGAGGTACGGCGTCGATTGGAGAACTTGCGGAATGAAATGCACGTTGATTATTAAGCAAACATTTATTCGGGTATCCTGGAATTCAGACATCTCGGATAGGATTTTCGGTTCCGTGGTCCGTGGTCCGTGGTACGTGGACCGACGCAAAATTGATTTTAATGTATCCTCATTCCAAAACCGTAACCACAACGAACATACCAATGGGTACAAGCGCGTGAAGATCTGGAATTTTAATATAACGGTTCTCGATCTCGATTGCACGAAAACTTAGTTCGGAGTTTGTTGAAGTTCGCTTCAAGTCTCGGTGCACCAGAATGCTCGTACGTCGTTAAAACCAGACACACGAACTAAAACACAGAGAAAGAGAGAGAGAGAGAGAGAGAGAGAGAGAGAGATAAATAGATAGATGAACGAATGTGTGTGCGTGCGCTCCTATATGTGAGAGAGAGAGACAGAGAGAGAGAGAAAAAAAAAGAAAAAGAAGCAAGGGGGAAAAGCTTATCGATTTTCGTCGACTCACACACACTTACATACATAGATACATATATATATATATATATATATATATATATATACACAACATGGATGGGGTTTGTAAATTCAACGGATTGCTTCGTGACCCATTCCAACTAACGTCTACTTACCACATCGTCGATTTTACCCAAGGGTCGGACCGAGGACGACCAGGACATGACGACGAAGAAGACGAAAACGACGAGGGGGGGAACTTACGAGATATGTATACATATATACATACATATATACATACTATACTGACTTACTCTGATATCTCTTGACTATCTCTAAACTGGATGCAAGGGGATGGAAGACAGAGGGAAAGATATCCGTATTAACACACAGCGGTCGCCTATTTCGTACGGCATACGCGCAATTCGTCCGATTAGATCGGATACGAAAAATAGGTCGTACCAAGCTAGATAAAAAGAAAGAAGGAAGGAAGTAAGGAGTAGGTAGGGTGATATATACTCTTTGATCTATGTATATAAACTCAGAGCTCATATACTTTTTTCTTACCGAATATCGTATTATTGTTTATATAGAGAAAGATATATATATATATACAAACTCTTTTTTATTTCCTTTTCTTGGAGAAGAAAGAAGAAGAAGAAAAAAAATTAAATAAAAAGAAAGAAGAAGAAGTAAAAAAAAAAAAAAAAAAAAAAGAAGTGTTGTACGATTTCGAACGAGAATGTTACGTGTCTTCGATTTCATTCATCTTCCATTATATTTTCTTTTCCTTCCTAATTCTTTTTTCATATACGGTTGGATTATCGAGACAGGCTTTATCGGCATTGAAGTTTCAAACAGCAACGATCTACGGGAAAGTACACGTCGTCCGTTGAATTTGATCTTTCCAGGTGAGATTGGAAGGGACTAGATTTATCTTTCTCTAGACGATGATTTTTATAAGACAGTATTGTTCTCTTTTAACCTTTTATTTCTTTCTTTCTCTCTCTCTCTCTCTCTCTCTCTCGATCTCTCTCTGTTTCTCTTTCTCTCTCTCTCTCTTTCTCTCTCTCTCTCTCTCTCTCTCTCGATCTCTCTCTGTCTCTCTCTCTCTCTCTCTCTCTCTCTCTCTCTCTCTCTCTCTCTCTCTCTCTCTCTCTCTCTCTCTCTCTCTGTCTCTCGATCTCTCTCGATCTCACTCGATCTCTTGTACCATTTCTATATCTTTCTTTTTCTCCTTTATATCTTTTCTTTATCCTCAGGAACAAAGTGGTGCGGAAGCGGAAACATTGCAATGGATTACGACGATCTTGGCCGATTCGCCGAGACCGATGCTTGCTGCCGCGAGCACGATTATTGCGACGATATTATCGAGGCTATGATGACCAAGCACAATCTGACAAACCCTTCCATCTATACAAGGTGGAACAATATTTCATTTTGGCGCTTATTCGTAACTATAGAGTATAGTTTTGTTTCTTTAAACGAAATTCGAAACGATCCAATCCGAAATATTATCTTCTATATATTTCTTTTTTCTTTTCCTTCTTCTTCTTCTTCTTCTTCTTCTTCTTCTTCTTCTTCTTTTTCTTCTTCTTCTTCGAACGAATTATCCCTAGACTGTATCAATTTTCTTTATTTCTTCATATCTCGTTAATATATATTAATCGGTAGTCCACATTTTATATATATATATATATATATATATATATATATATATATATATATATAAGTGTAGGAGACAATAAGTCGATCTATTTATCTATCTATCGATCGATCGATCGATCGATCCCTCGTTAAATCTTCTTCGTACTTTTACGATTCTGATCACATATACGTAATTTTCATTCGTACGTAGTTCGTTAAAAAAAAATACATTAATGATTGATTAACGAGTTTAACTACGTACTATACGTGGTATACGTATCCACTATATTGTTCGCTTGTCGTCCACACATCCCACATGGATTATCGAGCGACGTTACTTTTATTGCTTCCATATTCTACAGCTCGTGTCATCATTACGCGTGTCGTTTACACGCGTGCAGGCGCACCGACGTGTCGTCTACGTTGTGCATCTCGTTTATTAGTTCGTTCCAACGAACTGGAATAAATGAATCGCAATGAAACTACGGGCCATAGTGATCGCCAGCAGATACAATTTCAGTGTCATAAACAAAGAATTAATCTTTTTTAATTCTTTTGTTTTTTTTGTTTGTTTCTCTTCTATATATATATATATTTTTTTTTCTTCGTTCTTTATCCTTCGTATATTTGTTTTCGTGTTTTTTCTTTTTCTTTTTTTTTGTTTTTTATTTTGTTTTTTTTTTTTGTTTTTTTTTTTTGTTTTTTTTTCATTCCCGTAGAGAGAAGTCCCGAAAGTTATTGGCCATTACATCGTGATTAGCTACATTTTGATTCCACATTTATTATCGTTCTGCATTGATTTTCCAATTATACGTTCCGATTTTTTGTCTACCCCCCCCCCCCCACCCTTACTCCCACCCCCTTCCATCGTCTACAAATAACGACGATTTTGATCTATCTGACAAAAGTATACATATAAAAAATATACATATAAAAAATATACATATACATAACAAAAATATAAATATAAATACATATAATGTTTAATCTATAGAAACAAACAAAAATTTATGATACAGAATGTTATGTATGTATGTCGGAATGAGAGAATGTGTAATTTATGAAGATTTGTGAGGATTTGTTTAAAAAATTTATGATGGTCAATAATGGACGACTTCTTTTTTCATTATTATTATTAATATTGTTATTATTATTATTATTATAATTATTATTATTATTATTATTATTATTATTATTATTATTATTATTAATATTATTATTATTATTAAATACGTTATTAAAATTTAACATATTCCGTCGTAGATTGACACGAGCGTAGATACGATGTTTTATATATATATATATATATATATATATATATATATATATATATATATATATATATGAGAGTATCAAAAGCGTGTTTCGCGTGACGAAAGATAATCTTTCGGGATCTACTTACTGTTCTCCCACGGGATATGAGAGAGGTTGTCGCGCGTATTCCAAGTACTCCCTTTATCGATATTCAATAATTTAACCCTTCACCGTGTTCCTCCGGTGACCGATGACCGATGGCGTTAGGTTGCATTGTTCCTGCGACGAGAAGTTCTATGACTGCCTCCAGCGTTCGGGTGACAAAATTGCTGGTAAGATCGGGTTCCTCTACTTCAATGTTTTGGACACGAAGTGTTTCCGCGAGGATTATCCGATTGTGAACTGCAAACGTTATGCGAAGTAAGTTTCGCTTTTATCTAATAAATACATATATAAATAATATGTTAATAAATATATGTAGATATTACATAGATACTATTTCTATCTCTATAGAATAATTTCTATAGAGATTATTCCATGATACGAGATACATTGAAATTTTAAGGTACTCTAAAGTAATTTTTTTTTTTCTTTTCTTTTCTTTTTTTTTTCTTTTCTTTTCTTTTTCCATTAGAAAACTAAAAGCTAATATGACTTATCAAGATGATCGTTTATTCTCTGGTGTATATTTAATATGGACATTTTTCTTTTTTTAACGTTTCAACGCCATCCACGATTGGCATATAGCCGGTGTGAACGATCCTTCAGGGATCTGTTTTACCAACTGAAAAATGCTTGTCGATGTGAAAAAAATTGCACTGGAGGGTGTAGACTGTAGACTGGAAAATGATGAGAAGCTAGGACACGGGAAGTAGTAGTAGTAGTAGTCGTCGTCGTCGTCGTCGTCGTCGTC